TAAACTAAAGAGTAAGAAATAAATTTTTATTTATTTTCATAAAAACTTTACACACTTCAAGGCTTATGCATAAAATTTGAGTGCGCGCTTTAACGTCTACAACCTTTCTAAAATGAGAAAAACAAAAATTATATTTACTTTAACTAGATGTTCGTTTGCTAGGTTTCAACGAATCTATTGACCTCTTCATTTAAATGAAAGAAGCAAGAACAGATTTCTATTAAGGTAGAGCGAGAGAGACATATGTAGGTTAATTCGACAAAATCCATGTCATGTAACTTCTTCTGTAAAATATAAACAAGTAAGAAAATTATATTCGACTGAGGCCGAATCTCGCGTACCAGCCATCATTAAAATCTTTGCGACCCAGACTCTTATTTATTGTCATTAAAAAATATACTTCATTAAGGAAAATAAACCTACTACCTACGTGATAAGTGATACCCGTATTGCTCGTATTATTCAGAAAAAACTAATCCACCAAGTCATGGCGTTCACCATATTTATTTTAGAACTAACGCATTTTTAGGAATGTACGCAAAACGTTTTAAACATTCTCTCTTGTTTAACTTACGATTAATCAGCATAAAACCTCATAGAACTGAACAAAAAAAAAAAAAATTGAATCATTTGTAACTTTGTGTGGGTATGGTCACACAATTTCTGAATAATGGGTAAAAGCCCAAAAGAAGTATTGTCCAATTTACGATTTAGGTTGACCTTATGCTTTGACCAATTTGGTGCACTTTCAATACCAACCTAAGTACAAAAACCCAGAAGAATGTTAACAACACACACGCCACAGGCACATAGACAGACAGGCATGCCTTAATCAAATCATAATTTCATGCTGACTCTGAAGCTTCCTTTTACGTGTTGTGTTGCAAACATTATGACACAATTAATATACCTCCTTCCTCAGTATGGGTATAAAAATTATAAAATGTGTTTTTCTTGCAGTGAATGTGAAAGCGACCTTTATAATAGACATTTGATTACAATAATGAGAAATCAGCATGAAATGGACGGACGGATATGTAGATGTTTTAGGTGAATTTACGTAACTACGGATTCTCCTCACTTCGACGTCACGAAAATGCAATGCCCCGCATCTAAAAACTGCAAACCGAGTTATACATAAAATCGGGCCTCTCTGCTGAGATTCAAGCCTCATCTAAAATAATAATTATTTTTCTATTGATCAGGCGCCTTGTTATAGTGCATCCGCCCAGCTGCCTAGCTATAAGCCAAGCGACCAAGCTACCTTCAAGAATGCTACCGAAAAGGTACCGGAACAAATTCTCAGTCACTTGATAACGGGGATGTTATTAGTGAGGCATTGTGGTAGCTTGAAATGGATGGCAATGAAAATAAAAATTAGACTCTGATAGAATCCGGTCGTTTATAGGGGATACACCGCTGATAAGAAGGAAGATATTATTGACTGAACCAATGAAGACTTATACATCCAGTGAATTAAAGGCTTCCTTGCCTATTGTTCATTCGCGCATAGTCGGACAGAGGGTCGCGCTATCTTTCAAAATCAGCGTCTGAATATTCTCTTCTTCAAGGTTCGTTCGGTGATGCACTACTTATCATCTCCCGCCAAGTGAGACAAGAGCGCAGCTCTTGCAGTAGATGCTTATAGGGTCGTGCAATAGTATGACTTATGAAAAAAGTAGTCGACGAAAGAAAGATAAAATTCTTTTCCGAAAGAGTCCTTTGCTTACTCTAGGGGTGTGTGTCTCTTGCAGGAAAGATAGAAAACAAGTAGATCCAGCACACCCGATTCACTTTTACCTGCGTTAAAAGTAGATATATTTTGACAACACCATTGGTCAAATTTTATAATAAATAAGCTTAACGCCTTCCTCCCACGAAGAATAAAGCAGAATCGGCGTTTTTCTGAAACTTCTACGATCATCTATTGGTCTTAGTGTTACTGTATGAAGAAACCAAGCGTTTTCTAATTAATTGAATTAAATTTGTATGTTGTATAATTTAATTTCTCTTGAAATCGAACATATTTCCCACCATGAAAATTGAATTGAAAAGAAAATCTTTTTATGAATACAATGTTTATGCAAAAAATTTTAATATACTTTATGCCTTTTCATCTTTTTAACGTTATGAGCAGTCTTCATGTTTCATTTCATTTTCCTTATTTATATTCTTTCATTTTGACCCCACAAAATATATTAAATTAATATGTAATCAAATAATCGTTGCTGAGAGAACACAGAGCAGATCAGATCATCGGCTACTTAGTGAAAAGGAAAGAATAAAAAAAAAATTTGTTTCTTTATAAAACCCAAACTGGATATAGAAATTAGTGGGGGGGAAAACGATTGATTGGCTTACATGATATTTTACGGATTTCATTCAATTACTTGATTATCAGAATTCCTCTTTAAAGTTTACTCACTTTTCTTTTCGTCCTTTTGTATAAATCTTCATTAGATACAATAAAATGATTAAAAGCAAGTCAGAAGGTATATATATATATATATATATGGCTTAGATTGAATCTTATCATACCCACTACTTATTAAGTTTTATTAGCAAGAAAGAAAAAAAGAGCTTTTGATAAGATGCTTCCGAGTATCAAAAATTGACATCTAACGATTTATTTTTTGCTCACAATTTGTGTAGGGAGGTAGCTTCGCCTTTACAGGTAGCTAACTATTCAATAGTAGATGCACTCAATATTGGTAAATATTTCCAATACACAAACATTAATTGCTCTCAGTTCGGATTGAGGCCTTCAATCCATTTTACAATTTCTCAAAGTTGTCCGCTTCTTCTTTCCTCCATTGGTCTAGAATTGATCAAAAGGGAGAAGTATCACATATTCTGCTTCGTAAGGTCAGCCTATTGAATAAAGTCCACTCTCCACATAACGTCTCGTTTTAAAAAAATTTTTATATGAAAAGAATTTTCTATGTTTTATATATCACAAGGGCAATCCACTCGGAACAATATTTGGACATGCAGCATAAAGATGACGTCTGATAGCTGAAGGGATGGGATCATTTTATGAATTCCCCCCTGTAAGTAAAAGCGCTCTCAGAGAACGTAACCTCAAAGTTAAACATTTAATTTTACACAACGAGTAAATCTGTTAAATAGGAAGGAGATCGATCTTTATTTCGGAACCCCTCCCACATAATGGTCGTCTCGAAAAATACTCCTTCATATAGCCAAAAAATATATTTGTTACCTAAGTGTATAATGGTAAACATCAGAATAGCAGAATATTGATATCAGATCGTCAGCATATAAATCTCAATCTCTCTCTCTATTTTGTGGCCAGCTTTGACAGCTTCTTTCGCTTTGTTATGAGCTTTTAATCAAAGTCTTTCTTTCACTGATAACTCGTCCATAGCCGATTTACAATGCTATTGCGTGGAAATGACGATAGCGGGACTAATAGCACACACTTTCCCGGAAACACCACAGTAGACCTCAGAAAAAGTATTTTTGAATTTTCTAGCAGAGAAGACTTTTAAATGTTATCGCATGCAATAAATACCGAAAGTAAGTAACATAATGTTTAGGGTGAGCAATAATGATCACAATATACACGAACAATGTGCTTGAACCTTGCATTCTCATTTAACAAGCTTATGATTTAAGCTTGAGAAAATTAATTAAGCACACCCGGTCACATAATTAGTGAAGCGTTATTATAATAGGTGCTCATTGTTTCTTATTGTTGCATATGCAATAGCAACGACAATTCACTCTCTTATTGTACTAACAGTAGTTATAATATAAGTAGCATCAAGCAATTGTTATTGATATATGGTTGACAATCAATGCATAATGATAGAGCGAGAGAGTGATAGAACGATAGAGGAGGAATTGGGGTTTTTCAATAAAAAAAAAAATATGTCTGGAATGTGTTTTTGTGTAGTTTGAAGAATGTATCGAAACATCTGAGTAAATATTCTAAGATTTTTTGTTATTCATTGCAGCTTTTTCTTCTTTGCTTTATAATAAAAAATTGGATCATAATGTATTTTTTGCATTATAAATGCTTTAAAAAAATAAAAGCAACTCATTTTTTATAATATTTCTAAAGAAGTTTGATTTTTTTATTCATATACATATTATATACATATACATATCTACATATATATATATATATGCATATTTTATTATATTGAAGAAAATGTTTATAAAAAGTGCATTTATGTGGAAATATTTATATTTACATATTAATCATCCTTAGTTGAAAAATGATTGCAAAATATATTATATTAAGAGCTTCAGTGTTGAGCAAGAGAAAATATTTTTGTCAGAAACTTTTGAATAAAAACAATCGTAATATGTAAGGTGAAGAAGCTCTTAAAAATGAAAGCAATATTCATCTAATAAATGCTTATCAGAGGCGAATGCATATACTGTATATATCTGATAAGATTTCAAACGTTTGTTTTTAGAAGTTAGATGCAAAAGTAACATTTTTTTGTTGGTTTTACTTGTACAGGATGCTTACAACTTACAAGATATCAATTGCATCGAAACTTTTAAATTTTCTAAAATCGAGATAAAATTTAAATTTCTTTCAATTAATTCGAGTTCAAACACATTATTATTTTAGGGTCGGTATTTCTCCAATTACTTCATAATAAATGAGTAATTAGAGACAAGAACTAAATGTTAAGTAGAGAAGATTAGTTTTTCAAAAATTCTATGTAAGAGGAAGTCGAAACTAATTCATCTTTGATCAAATTTCGTATACCGACTCTGTTTTGTCAAAGAACTTATCTTCGTGTTTCTATCTCAATGGCAAGTAAAAATATTATGGCGGGCCAGGGTCTGCTGTTCAGTACC